ACAACAGGAAGTACATGTGCTCTTGATCTTTGTTGGCATTAGAAGAGGTCGGGCCAAAGCTCTTCTTAACAAAGGGGATAAAACCCGTGAACGAAGTACTATAGCTTTTAAAAATGGAAGAGTCGTACTTTAGCCGAGTCATAAGATCAGAAGTGCCCGAGCTCTCAGTAGTTAGGTGAGATGAGGGAGACCAATCGTGGGTGATATCCATGACTCTGCCTGAGGGCCTTAGCCCAAAGACTTGAGCCATGTCAAGGATAGTTGAGGACGTAGGACCCATCCTGAAATCAAAGGTGTTGGTTCCCTTGTTCCAAAATAGAAGAATTATGGTCAGCAGCTCGGGCTTGACAATCACAATGGTTTTGGAGAGCATTATCAGCTCGTATATGCCAATGTTCGTACTAGATGTCATGAGCGCGTTGACGCGAGTTAGGGCCGAATCAGAGTCTTAACAAGGAAGTTACGAACGTATAGAGTGTAAACAGACCAAAATAAGAAACCAATCACCATAATTCCTATTTCCTTGAACCCAATTAGGTGTCATATCCCGGCTTGGGCCCTCACCACATCCCGGGCTCGACTCCACTGTAGCACAATATTGTCTTCTTTGGGCCCTGACCACACCCTCACGGTTTTGTTTTTGGGAACTCACACGAGAACTTCCCAGTAGGTCACCTATCATAGGATTGCTCTCGCATGAACTTGCTTAACTTCGGAGTTCTTATGGAACCCGAAGCCAGTGAGCTCCCAAAAGGACTCGTGCTAGGTAGAGATGGGAATATACATATAAGGCTTGCAGTATCCACGCCCACGGAAGATGTGGGATGTTACAATCCACCCCCCTCAAGGGCCCGACATCCTCATCGGCACACTTCCGGCCAAAGATTGGCTCTGATACCAAATCAAAAGACTGAGAAGTGATAGGGGAGGTGAGTACACCTCACATGAGTTCAATGCATTCTATGAAGATGTGGGATTGGAGAAGCAACTCACCGTGACATATTCACCACAATAAAATGGGATTGCAGAAAGGAAGAATAGGACTATAGTCCAAATGGCTAAGTCTATGATGCATGAGAAAAACATGCCATATACATTTTGGGGTGAAGCTGTGAACACCTCAGTGTACCTATTAAATAGGTGCCCCACAAAAGCGCTGGATAAAAAGACACCATTTGAAGTGTTCAGTGGAAGGAAGCCTTCTGTAAAGCATCTGAGAGTGTTTGGCTCAATATGCTATACTCACATTCCTCAACAACTAAGGCAGAAGCTGAAAAAATCAAGCAACAAGGGTGTTTTTGTGGGTTATGGAACCATTGAGAAAGGGTACAGAGTTTACAATTTGTCAACTCAAAAGATAATCTTATCAAGGGATGTTAATTGTCACATCCCCGCCGGGCCACCACCACATCCCAGGCTCGACTCCGCCATAGCATGATATTGTCTGCTTTGGGCCCCAACCACACCCTCACGATTTTGTTTCTGGGAACTCACATGAGAATTTCCTAGTGGGTCACCTATCCTAGGATTGCTCTCATGCGAACTCACTTAACTTCGGAGTTCCTATAGAACCCGAAGCTAGTAAGCTCCCAGAAGGCCTTGTGCTAGGTAGAGATGGGAATATACATATAAAGCTTACAGGATCCACTCCCCTAGGCAATGTGGGATGTTACAATCCACCCCCTTTTGGGGCCCGATATCCTCATTGACACACTTCTGGCCAGGGATTGTCAGATCCCAACCTAGGCCCTTACCACATCCTGGGCTCGACTCTGCCATAGCACGATATTGTCTGTTTTCGGCCCTAACCACGCCATCACGGTTTTGCTTTTGGGAACTCACACAAGATCTTCCCAGTGGGTCACCCATCCTGGGATTGCTCTCGCGTAAACCCGCTTAACTTCGAAGTTCCTACGAAACCCGAAGCCAATGAGCTCCCTAAAGGCCTCGTGCTAGGTAGAGATGGGAATATACATATAAGGCTTACAGGATTCACTACTCTGGGCGACGTGGGATGTTACATTAGGTATTTGGGCTATTATATCATCTAAACCAATCAAAATTAGTCCTCTCTCTCCCTCTCTTACGGTAGCCCAATCAGGGCTTAACATTTTCTTCTTCTGCCTAATCAGGAGGAAAAACACACATACATATGCACGTACACACTATCTCCCCTCTTCTCGAGCCTTCTCTTTCCTTCTTCTTTCTGCGCCGTGATACCCACATACACGATCATCATCAAACTCTCACAGATCGAGTCTTGGGAAACCACCATCATTCTCCTCTCAACCTCATGAACTCAACCATACACTTAGCTCATTGAACGAATGACATGAACATGAGAAACCAGAAGCTCCGGCGATGAGTCAAGTTTGCTCCGACGCAATCCCGACGTGGTTTCGAGATTTTAAGGCTTGGAAAGGTATTCACCCAACTTTCCTAACTGTTTGAAGTATTTTTGGAGTGAATTGGGCATTGGTATGGACGCGTTTGGAAGGTTGCAGAGTTGGCCAGAAGTATCGAGGGAATTTCCGACTGTTTTCCGTTGGATTTTGAACTTCTATTAGGTAAGAATGTGTTCTACTCTTCAAGACCTTCAAATCCATATAAATGTCATGGATTTTGGTTAAGAAATGACAAAGTTGTAAGCTTTAGAAAATTTTCCAGAAACCGGTAAGAGCAGCCGGAGGCGGACGACGAAGTAACCGAAGAAGAAGGGGAATATTTCGTTAACTTTAACGAAATATTCTAATCGCGTCAGGTACCATCAATTACATTCAATGAATTATTCCGTCAAACTGATGAAATATTTCTAACGGCGTCAGTCATATAGACGACACGTGCCTGCGTGTGGCCGGTGCGAGAAGCCGCGTCCGGTGTCCAAAATTTTTTCTAAAACTATGTGTGTGTTCGTACTGTCGAGTAGATCACATTGGTATATTCAAACACCCCATTTGAGCAACGTATGAGGAATTAATCCTGAGCTTTGTTTATGTGCTATTGAATTAACGTTAAAATAGTTGTATCACATATAGGTGAGATGTACCCCGAGGACGAGCGCGGGTAAGTAAGGCTAGGGGGCTACGATCCTGCTACTTATCAGTGAGTGTGAATTTTTTTTCTATATGTGTGTGTGTGTGTGTGTATGCTTTACGATTTCCAAAAACATTTTAAAATGAATTTATGCCTTGTATGCCCCATCTATACTGCTTATTACTATATTGTTGCATTAGTATGAATTGTGAATTATACTATTTGATGTTGCGGAGGTTCAGGTAAGCTTTAGGTGAGTTATCATGTGATTGGTCTTGTTGCATTGCATATTGCTATGCATTTATGCATTTAGACCTTATTATGCTGCACTCCAGTGTTAGTGCTCCCGCCAGAGGCCAGGGCACAACTTTCACGTGATCGTTCACCTCCCACACCACACGCTCACCTTGGATCCAAGTTTTGGTGGTAGCTTGTCGTACTGACCCCAATAGGTGGTTCCAACTTGTAGGTGACCCGCGATCTATCACACAGCACTTGAGCGTACTTATTTACACCCAACCTATCATACAGGCCACATTAGGTGACTTTGACTCGTGTGCAGACCTATGTTGATGAGCTATAGGTCCAGTCATATAGATCACGTTAGGTGACTCCGATTGGCATGCTAATTTAAATCAACTTTTCACTTGACTTACATATTTTAGTGCTGAACGTTATGACATGGTATAATTCTGTTTTCATTATTCTTGAACATTATTTTTATATACGTGCATATTACTATTTCCTAGAAATTATATGGGTTTTACGGAGAGGGGTTATTATGTTCATAAAGATAAATGTGTTTTCTAAAGCTTTGTTTTTGCCCACTCACCCTTCTGTTTTGTGCCCCTCCAGGTTTTAGGTAGCTGTTCATCTTTGGTGGCTCACGAGGACTACACGGCGGTTTTGAAGTTTCCAAAATAAAAGTAGGGATCTTCTCCTTGTTTGTATAATTAGTACTTAGTTAGTTCAACTGCATTTTCGTTTTACCTATGCTTTGATATGCGTGTATCTTATATTTGATCACTTTCACACACTTACACAGTATCTATAGTTAAATAAGTTCAGCTTTGGTTTTTAATTATTCACATTTCTTTTATTAGTATCACTTCTGTTGCGCACTTGGCTACGTCAGTCTCATGTGACGGCCAGCATGTCTCGACTCCGGTCGAAGTGTCACACTATACACCTAATTATTTACCATGTATCATTTCACTTAACCTTAATTAATTTTTTAAAAATTTAAAAAGTAACATGTAATGTAAAAATTAACCAAAATTAAATGAAAAGACACATGACAGATAATTAGATGTATGATAAACATACAATTCTTTTAAATAACGCTGAGTCATTTGAAGGCAAGATCTTTTGCTCTCAAATTTGAGAGCAGATCTCAAATCCATGTATATTTTTTTTTAATATATATTATTGTGTGTTGTATTTGCCAAGTCAAGCAAAAACTTGTATAAAATACCTAATTATCACATAGACCATTAAATATTATTTTGATATTTTAAATTTAACATGCTCTAACCACTTAAATATAATCAAAACGTTAACTCTTATGTTATTTAATTTATAAAATTTTAACTTACAAATTTAATCTCCTCAAAATTACCTTTTACAATTTTTATCAAAGGGGCACAATTGATTGCCACATCAACAAAAAGATGGGTCTTGCATTTAAGTGGCCAATTTGACCAAGTGACTAGTAGAGGTGTGGCATTACAAGGAATACGTAAGTTCATGTATGATATTGCAATGTTAAAAAGATGATGTATGAATTTGTTATGTGATTAAAATTTGAGGTAATAAAATGTAATTTTGTTCCAAATTTAACCATTGGTGAGAAAGAAAATCAGGCTGAGGATGATCAAGGATACCTACTCAATTGACAAGAAAAATAACAAAGTCCACAACTAACTAGAATAACATGATAAGATCAAGTTCCCTCAATGGACCGCATGGAAGAGAACTTAGTTTATTAATAATGTTCCCAGCTGCATGCACAGAACAAACATAACATTATCACTGGATAAGATGATCATCAACAGAGGCGAGTGCAAAAGCAGCGACGACGAAGGCCACGGCACCTGCCACCGGAGAAACCCTCGTTCCTGCAGACAAGAGCACAGTTGTGGTGGCGGAGGCATGTTCCGTGGAACCCATGACTCTGTGACTGACAAACCCTTGCCTCAGTTGGCACCACTATCTCTTCTGCATTGACAATTATTTGATGAGAAACAACTAAGATTTAAAAATATCATATATGAGAGAGAGAGAGAGAGAGAGAGAGAGAGAGAGAGAGAGAGAGAGAGTTACGTGAAGCCAAGACAATGAAGAGCAAAAGCAGAAGCCCAAAGCATGATTTCCTCCCCATCACTAGTGAGTAAGGTTTGTGTGTTCAACAACAATGGCTGAAAAATAAGCTGCAATTAATCCGATTGTTTCTTTCTTTATTTCTTTGTAGCACAGAGCAAAGGAGGGTGAGTGGGTTCTTATAGATAGAGTGGCGTGATAAAAGACACGTACTACTCTCAAGCGTGTCAGGGTGGCGTGATACTCTGCTGGAAGACACGTACTACTCTCAAACGTGTCAGGGTGGCGTGATAAAAGACTGACGCGAAACTAAATGATGATGCATGCATGCAATTGCACAAATCTCAGAGAGAAAGCATCTCGTCACGTGTATTGCCACGTGCATGCTCTTCCAAAAGGATTTTCAAAAGGGAGAAAGATTCTCTCCATGGTCGGTGGCCCCTGTCAATTTAGTTGTGGTTTTCTGTACGTCAGTGCCCTGATTTCTGAATACGCTCTCTTCTTGTGGGAGATTCGAGAGAAAGCTGAAATTAATTATCTCGGTTTTCGGTTTTCACGTGCTAGCTTAGTTACAACCATGCACCGTGTTTGCTTTTCTGATAGTATTGAAAGCACACCACAAAGTAGCAAATAAATGTCTTATTAATTTTCCTTATTAACAATAAGATTTATTAATTGTAGCATATGAAAATAAGGGTCTTTCCCGCAGAAGATTGTTTTATCTAACTACTTAAAATGTCACAAAAACTGGGATGGTGTCCTTACTGACCAGCCACCGAAAAATAATTATTAGACCGACTTACACTTATCTAAAGCCTACGAAATTTTATATGCAGATACTAGACACACAGAGCTACACTCACACAAATTTTTGGGATTTTTGGAGTTGATTTGCTATTTAAATTAAATCGAACAAAAACAGATTTTAAGTAGTTCGCAAATTAAGAAAAATGAGTTAGGGGAATTGCTATCCACCACCAAATAATCGTGCAAACATGTTATGTTTCATTCCAATTCCTTTCATTTTCAGATGAAGATGCTCAAGTTGGCTCAATGTTAGAACTCAACCTATTACTTTTTCTTATGTAGTATATTAAGAGAATGACGTTTTCAACTTAACTTAGTTCCTAACATACAATCTAGAATGGTGTGTTCATAGATTTAACAAGTAGCAATCATTAAGAATGAAAAGAGTTTGAGTCATCACAAGGCATCGTAAGTACTAGCATTGTCTTACTTATCCTAGAAATTGATTCACATGTTAATCGCAATTAACAAGTACTACTCTAGAACATATGTAGGTCCTTATTCGACAAGGGCAGGCACACACATATTCATAGCATTAGAATCCTAGACATGCTTCCTAAGTATGCATCCGTAGAAAACACATAAAGAATTCATCAATGAGATAAGTAGTGAACCAGTTTTCATCCATTCATAAAAGTAATTCAAACGAAATGTCATAACAAACTTGCAATCATATTTAGGGCTTCAAAACAGCCCCTAACTACTATAAATTAGTTACACATAATTCTCAAATTAAACCAAGAGAAAGACATGAGTTTGAGAATATAAAACTGAAAGAAGAGAATGCCAAGATTTCCTCCTTCCTTTCCTTCCTTCCCTAACGCAGCAGCCTTCCCTTTTTTCCTTGCTTTCCTTCCTTTTTTTCATTTTTTTTTTACCTTTTTTTCCACTCTTTGCCGCTGCAACATGCAGCCCTTTTCTTCTTTTCTGCTGCCACAGTTACTTCTCCATAACTCACCCCACTAACAGCCATTTAGTGATGACAATAAGTGAGAGGAAATGCTAAAACAATTGTAACTCTTTGGGCAGACTTTATGCCCATTACTCCCACTTAATTTTCCATTTCCTCTGATATTTGAATAGGTGTCAGCTGGGTTGTTCTTGGTTGCATCAGTTTTGGCTGCTAGTTTTATTGGATTTATTGCTTTCAATGCTTTCTTGTCAGTTACAAACTGCTCAGCCTCTTGGGAACCTTTTAGTGTTAAAATGGCCATAACTTCTTCTAGAAAAATGATATTAACAATCTGCGAAATGATCCACAAAATAGACATCCATAGCTTTCCAAGCATATAAGGCGCATTGTCTAATTCATTCTGAGTTGTCCGCAACTTGCTTCCAAAGTTAGCTGACCTGCATAGGCAGTTTTGACGAATTTGTTACTTAAAGTTCCACTTGTGCTATTTTTCTTTTCTTCACTTGACAAATCGTACAAAACACAAAAACAAAGTAAATAGCTCAAAAATATAAGGAACTAACTAAGAAATGACAAGTGAATTTGGTATAAAATTTATATAGACATGAGCTTATCAAATGCCCCCACACTTAGCTTTTGCTAGTCCTCGAGCAAAACAAAGAAAACATGAAAAAGTAGCAACATGAAAAACATTAGTTCCCCACCACATGACATTCAAGAAAACAAATCATCAAGAACCTTAGCTAGTATCAAACAAGCTAATCCAAGCTCATCTTCCTTATTCAAATGTTAGCAGCAACCTTTTAATCATCCTTGAAGTGTAGTGTGTGTAATAGTCATGCTAATGCAATTTCAAGTTTTGTTTTAAAACACCACATGCAAACTAGTGACCTTCTCACGGGACATACACTCAATCACACATATGTTTAGTTTAATGTGTTTCGCTCAAAGAATCAAATGTGAAAGATCTACCATAAGCTTGCATAAAGATCTCATCTCCACAATCATAATTGCAATACTAAAATCAAGAGGACTTTTATTGGATATAATGAGGCTTAGGGAGAGGGTTGTAGAAATGAAAGGATAGGTAAACACAAGTTCCAAGCTACATTGCAAGAAATTCTCTTGTTGAGATTTATAAGAACTCAAGCTCTCCAACCACCCTACTAATACCTCCAATCACACCCCTAAACTTTTTATTTGCTTTGTATACAATTTTTCTTTTTTTTTTCATCTTCTTCCTTTTTTTTTTTTTTTGTACCAATTTTCACACATAACTAAATACAAACATGAAATACCCCCGCACTTATTCTTTTGCCAAACTCCTTCAAAGTACTTCACAAACATTTCTCATAAGACAATCTCATATTGCTCACTAGCTAGCTTGGAAAGGGTAAGAAAAAATGTTTAAGGTATAAGGGTAGACATATCTGGTGATAAGAAATAAAAGACTCAACATATACGGCTCAAATTGGCAATCTAATGATATCATTTTTCTTTAGGAAACATGCTTTTTGGGCCATGGTGATAAACCTAATGCCTCTATCATTTTCAAGTTCATGCAATCAATGACAAACATTTCAAAAGATCGTTACGCAAGTTCTAGAGATGTAAGTCACATAAGTTCATCACACATGAAAGAATAGGAGTGTATGAAAAATGCACACTTCCATTAGGCTCAAAAACTCACATAGGTTGTATATGGTCACTATGTTCACATACAAAGCTTTAAATCATGCTTTAGTTTCACATCAACAAGGCTATGTGCTTTTGGTTTTTCAAAGATGATTAAACATGTACAAAACTAATAAGGGAATAAGGAATTTCACACAATACATGCTTACTAAGTTCTTGATCACCGTGGTTCAAATTCAATCCAATTATATCATTGGGTCAGGAAACTAACAAAAATCTAATTCAAAACAATAAAGAAAATAAGATTATTTTTGGATTTTTTTCATTTTCAGAATTTTCTCTGTTTTTTTTTTTTTGGGTTTTTATTTTTTATTTTTTTAGAGTTAACAAAACTAATTAAGAAAACAAAAAACAACAAGAAGGAAACAAATGAAACCAATTCTTAGTCAAAGGGACGAAAATTTTCAATTTGGTCATTTTTTCAATCCTTACCCCCAAACTTAAACTGGACATTGTCCCCAATGTCAAAAAACACAATAATGCATAAAATAAAAATAAAATAAAATCGTAAGAAACAAAATAAAGCATTTGGACTGAAAATTTCCCCAATTTGCAGTAAAATCAAATGATGACGCCCAAACTTCAATTCTGCAATAAACTCCAAGGGTGGACATAACCAAATATTCCAACAAAGAAAGGAAATAATTCAGTTTAGCACGCAAGAAAACTCGGAAAAAAAAACAAATGAAAAATTGAAAATGACATAAAAGGACAATGACTAGAAATATTGGGTTGCCTCCCAATAAGCGCTTGCTTTTACGTCTGCAGCCGGACGGTACCAAGAGTAATCATTCAAGGGAAGCTGGTTCTTCAAGGGGTACAACCTCTAGATCATGCTCCGCAAAAGACTCGTTATATGGTTTGAGTCTATGTCCATTCACTTTGAACACGTTTCTGGTCTTTGCACTTTGGATTTACACTGCACCATGAGGAAAAATATTAGTTATAATAAACAGACCAACCCATCGAGAACAAGCTTACCTAGAAATAACCGAAGGCGAGAATTAAATAGAAGAACTTTCTGTCCAATGGCAAAGCTCTTCCTTGATATCATCTTGTCATGAAATGCCCTTGATTTCTCCGTGTATATTCGACTAGACTCGTATGCATCGTTCCGAATTTCATCTAACTCATTCAATTAAAGCTTCCTCTACTGTCCGGCAACACTCATGTCCATGTTGTAGGCTTTGATCACCCAATAAGCTTTGTGTTCTAATTCTACTGGAAGACGGCATGGTTTCCCATAAATTAACCGAAATGGGGACATTTCAATAGGAGTCTTATAAGCAGTCCTATATGCCCACAATGCATCGTTCAAGCGCATGCTCCAATCCTTCCTACAAGGACTCACAATTTTCTCCAAAATTTGCTTCACCTCACGGTTTGATACTTCTGCTTGACCACTAGTTTGCGGATGATAAGGTGTAGACACCTTATGTGTGACATTGTACTTCCTAAGCAATGCTTCAAATGTTCTATTGCAAAGTGACTCCCTCCATCACTAATGATTGCTCTAGGTGTCCCAAATCTTGCAAAGATGTTAGTCTTAATAAAATCTGAAACAACTTTTGAATCATTAGTTTTGGTGGCTTTCGCTTCCACCCATTTAGAAACATAATCCACAGCCAATAAAATGTAAAGAAAACCATTTGAAGATGGAAAAGGTCCCATGAAATCAATGCCCCACACATCAAAGATCTCAACAATCAAAATAAGGGTTTGTGACATTTGATTTCTTGGGCCCAAG